GGATTCTTTTCTGGGATTTTCCAATCTCCTACATGACTTCTTTTGAATTTACATACGTTAATGCTCACTCCTTGTGTTGTAAAGTTCTATGATTTGAAAATGCATTCTGTTAAATATTCACGGCATTGTATGATACAGGAGAATTTCACTGCCTAGAAGTGCCCTGCACATCACCTATTCACACCTTACCTCTCGCCCCAAACTGCAGGCAGCCTTTTTGCCTTTCTTGCCCTTCCAGAAGGTCATAGTAGGAATCATCCTTTTCTAGAGCCTTTTCAGACTGCCTTCTTTCACTTAGCAATGTAGGTTCCTCCACAGCTTTCTGTGGCTTGGTCATTTTTCATCACTGAATAATACTATATTGTATAGATAAACACAGTTTTAGTTTATTTTCATTTGCTTTCTCATACATTTTATGACTATTTGGCTCTTTCTACAATGGAAAGGTAGGCCCCGTTCTCTATTTCTTCCTTAGTACCTCCCCCTGGGAAAGGAGTTTATATACTTCCCACTCCATTCATGTTACATGACCAAGCCTGACATCTTTTGTCCGTGAAATCTGAAGACATTTCAAGAGCTATCACATGAATCTGCCTTCTCTTTGGGCATAAGATTAGCATGTCCTAGATGGGGCTGAAGAGAGAAGACAACTTACACATAAACAATATAAAAGCAAAAGGGGCTGGTGCTGTGGTACAGCGTGTTAAGCCACTGTCTGCAGTGCCGGCATCCCTCATGGGCACCAGTTCAAGTCCCAGCTGCTCCACTTCTGATCCAGCTCCCTGCTGATGTACTTGGGAAAGCAGTGGAGAATGGCTCAAATGCTTGGGCCCCTGCACCCATGTGGGAGACTCAGAAGCTGCTCTTGGCTTCAGCCTGGCCCAGCCCTGTCTGTTGTGGCCATATGGGGAGCGAGCCAATGGGTGGAAGATTTCTCTGTCTTTCCCTATCTCTCTGTAACTCTGCCTTTCAAATAAAGTTAATCTTAAAAAAAAAAAAACTGTGGTTGTAAGCTGATAGGCAATGGTACTTTGCTACATGCATAACAAAGCAAAAGAGCAAAAGCTGATAAATAGACCTCCCAACCTTTTCTTCCTTCTTCTTTGCTTTTACTTTTACTATTCTTATGCAAAGCTGTGCTTACAATTCATTCTGAAGGGGTTAACATTGATAACATTTCAATGTAATGTCTTGACATTTGACTTGGTAGTTTACTCCATGTGTAAGACAAAACCTGTTAAATTCTAAATCTGTGCTTATTTTTTAAAACTTAATTTTATTTATTTGTAAGGCAGAGTGACAGAGAAGAATGAGATCTTCCAACTACTAGTTCACTCCCCAAATGGGCCAGGCTGAAGCCAGGAGCTAGGAACTTCATGCAGGTCTCCCACGTGGGCAGCAGGAGCCCAAGTACTCTCCCAGGCACGTAACCAGGGAGCTGGAGTGGAGCAGCAAGGACTCTTAAACTGATGCTCTGATGTGGGATGCTGCCATTGCAGGCAGCAGATTTATTCTTTTTTTCTAGGGTTTATTAATTTATTTGAAAGGCAGAGTTATAGGAAGTAGGGGGGTGGGGTGGAGGGGATATCTTCCACTAAATGGTTTACTTCTCAAATGACTGCAATGGCTGGGGCTGGATCAAGCCAAAGCCAGGAGCTTGGAACTCGATCTGGTCTCCCACATGGGTGGCAGGGACCAAACACTTGGACAATCTTCCATGGCTTTCCCAGACACATTAACAATACTGGACAGAGAGTCAGCAGCTGGCACTCAAACCAGTGCTCATATTGGATGCTAGTATTGCATGTGGCAGCTTAACCTGCTGAACCACAACACTGGCCTTGATGTGCTGTTACGGTGAAGGAGAAAGATTGGATAATATAGTAGCTACGAGTTGCGGCCGGCGCTATGGCATAGTGGGAAAGTCGCCATCTGCAGCACCAGCATTCCACATGGGTGCTGTTTCAAGTCCCGGCTGCTCCACTTCCAATCCAGCTCCCTGCTAGTGTGCCCGAGAATGCAGTGGAAGATGGCCCAAGTACCTGGGCCCCTGCACCCACGTGGGAGACCCGGATGAAGCTCCTGGCTTTGGATCAGCCCAACTCCAGCTGTTGTGGCCAACTGGGGAGTGAACCAGCAGAAGAAGGATCTGTGTGTCTTCCTCCCTAACTCTGCCTTTCAAATAAAATAAATCTTTTTTAAAAAATTAAAAAGCAGCTACTACTTGCATATGCAATTTAAAATTAGAATTTAAAAACAATTTCTCCTACCTCTAATCATATTTCAAATGTTCAGTAGCCACATGTGACTACTGTATTTTGGTATTTTGGACAACACTAATGTATACTTCCATCAAGGCAGAATAGTCTGTTGACCAGTGCTACCTTAAGAGAATATGTTGAAAGCTATACATACACACTTGATGGTACATGTGCAGATTCCAGGAAGTTAGCACGGATCTCAGGGTAAATTCCTTGAGGCGGGGGGAGGACAGATGGCTGTCTAAGCTGGGTCCAACTTGCAGATGACCCATCTAAAGGAGTTGACTCATCTAGGACCCAAAAATGTACTGCACATGGTCGTCAAGTGTGTAAAACAGTTTAGTCTAGTACCCAAGGAAATCTTCCCTTGCTTGAGGATCAATATCCAACCTTGACATAACAGCAAACAGTGAGTCCAGAAAATTCTGTGATTGTCCTGAATCCATGTAATGTCAAACAAAAGGGCAGGAGAAGACCTAGTCCTTCACCTGCATCGAGTTCAGCCTTTGGTTTCAACCTGCCTAGCCCTGGCATTTGGGGAGTGAACCTGTGGACGGGAGATCTCTAACTCTCTGCCTTTCAATAAACTTCAAAATTTAAAATACAGCTCAGAGGTCAGCATCATGCCTCAGCAGGTTAAGCTGCCGCCTGCAACACCAGCATCCCATATGAGTAGCATCCCACACGAGCACCAGTTCAAGTCACAACTTTTCTATTTATGATCCAGTTCCCCACAAATGCACCTGGGGAAGTAGTGGAAGATACCCCAAGTGCTTTTGCCCCTGCCACCCATGTGGAAGACCCGGATGGAGTTCCAGGCTCCTGGCTCCTCTTAGCCCCAGTCCCTTGCAATCATTTGGGAGCTGAACCAGATGGAATGAATCTCTCTCCCTCTCTACCCTCTGCCCGACCCCATCCCCCATCTCCCTTAAGTGCCTTTCAAATAAAATGAAATAAATCTTTTTAAAATATGGTTCCGTGCCTTTGGCTCAGGAATGATATAACTGGAAAGTAGCTATTATAAATGCAAGTATCAAGTCAGGTACATTAAGAGGAAAGAGCGCCTCTATCCTTGTTCAGCACGGAGAGAGAGGACTGCGTGTGTTTCTAAGGACAGGACAGGGAAGTGTTCTCCAGTGTAACAGCAACATGCAAAAAATACCAGCCAAGCTTTACCCCGAGCAGCCCTCAAATACTTGAACTCCTTTCTCTCTCATTCTTGCAAGGGAAAGATGGTTATTTTCCTCTTCAGGCTGGAAACCTTGGGTCACATAAGTAAACAGCGCAAGATCACATAACTGGTGAATGGCCAACTCAGGACTGCAAACAAGGCCTGCCTGGTACCATCCACGTACTACCTTCTCCAGTTTGTTCCCATGTAAATGCTGATGCCTGGTCCTGTCCGTCCATTGTGAAGGCTGTTTAGGCACCTCCAACACACCTGCCGGCAAAGCCACCCACATTTAGGGTTTCAAGTCAGGAGCTGCAGCGTCCCACCACCAGGCTCTGGGGACATAAATAGCCATTGCCCATAAAAGGTATCAGTTTTTTCCTTTACCCAGATCGGTGAGGTGAAGCTCAGTCCTGAGGTGGATCCAAAGCACCAGGGGCTGGGGCCCCTCTTAAGCATGCACTGATCCGAGCTGTCATGGTCCGGGTTCACCCGCCTCCGGATACCTGCTTGTTCACTACGCTCAGCAAAGTTCAAGCCCGCAAAATACCAGCATTTTAGGAACGGCTTCCTTCTTGGTGCCAAAGACCCTGGAGCCCAAATGCAATTTACCTGTTCTCCAAAACACTTGGTTCAGGTCTCAGGAGCCTCCACCTTGGCGAGCGCGTTCACGATTTAAGCCGGCGGCTCGCTGAGTGCAGGCAGCAGCCTGTGCCCAAGGGCGCAGTTTGCCGCAGGAGAGCAGGTGCAGCTCCCAAGACGTGGGGGAGAACACGGACTAGCAGGGAAAGGGGCCTTCCAGAGGACGTGGAGGCTCGAGGGATGGGGGAATGCTCAGAAAAGAGGTGCGTCCCATTTTTCTGCCGCCCACTTCTACCTCCACATTCCCTCTCCTTGGCACTCACGGATCCCCGGCCCGAGACCCCCGAAGCAGTGCTGTGAGCTCGAGCCCCTCGCACACGCCGAGCCTGGCGACCTGGGGGAGTCTGCTCCAGGGTCCTTAGGCCTCTGAGAGGGCTAACGAAGGGTAGGAGTGGAGAGCATCCCAGAGCTATAAAACCGGCGGAGAGCATAGCGAAACCCAGCGCGGGGCGGAGGGGCGGCAGGCCGCGGAAGGGGCGGACCCGGGCGGCGTGTAAGAGGGCGCCGGCCCCGGCCCCTGTCCTGCCCTCTCCCTGCGCCTGGCCGGCGGTGGCAGGATGCTGCCCGGAGGTCCCCGCCGGCCCGCTGGGCGTGGCCGCGCCCCACGGCTGGTTTGGTTACTGGGGGTCCAGCACTTGCCGCAAGTCGTTTACGTCGAGTCGTGGATCTTCGCAGCGTTGTTTGGTGAGGGAGTCGCAGCTCCGGCCCTCGCAGGCCCTGTTTGCCGCGTCAGGTCCAGTGCCTACCTCTCCTCCCGAGGGGCGCCTAAATCCAAGACCCCTGGACGCTTTTTGAAATCGCAGGTTCCACATTTGGTCCCAGCCTGGTGCACCCAAAGCTGGGTGTCCCTGTTCCTTGAGTCAGCCACTGCATCTGATCCCTGCCTGCCTCCCCGCCCGCGGCTTAGCGTTCCCTTCCCCACCCAGGCGTGAACGGCGAGATGCTGGCGGCCTTCCAGAGGACCTGCATCGTCTTACTCAGTATCGAACTGGACCCGCTGGGTGGAGTCCTGATCTTCATTTACGGACGACCCTTCCTACAGACCCTTGCGATGCTCCTGATCGTGTCAGCATCTTTCCAGCTTCGGATCCGCAGAAATCGAGGTGAGCGGCCCCAGGGGCCCTGAGCCGGAACCCTCTGTCCTCGCTTCCCGGGCTCACCCCAGTTCTTTAGGCTGAAGGCTGTGAGTAGATCTGAAAACCGTTGCCAGGTCTACCCCAGATCCCTGGGGGCAGGGAGTGCAAGATGCAGCTGGGAAAGGGGACGCTGGCTGGACCCGAGAGTGTGTGTCCCCCTGGGTTCCAGAGCATCCCCTCTGGGGAGCCGTCTTCCGCCAAATCCCTTCGTAGGCCTGCACACCAGGCCGTGGGTTTTAAAGCGGGAGCCTGGCCAGCAGCATCAGCATCACCTGGGAACTGCTTAAAAATGCAGAGCCGTCGGCCTAGCCCAGCCCCACGGAGCCCGTGTTTCTACACGCCCTCGGTCCAGGTGATGCTGATGCACGCTGGTTTGGAATGCGCCGCCCTCCAGGCACCCCCACAAGCCCGCCCCTGACCAGCTGCTTTCTTTTTAGCCAGAGCGTGGGCCAAGGGCCTGCAAGGTTCCGTGTGGGCCTCCAGGCGCTTCATTTAAGGCCTGTCCGGAACCCGTGACCTAGACCACGCGCTTGCGCTGTGCGGGAACCTGGAACAGGAACGGCGTTACCTGCGGATGGACTCCTGCCTGGAGGTTCCGACCCAAGGCTCAGTTCCGATTGTGCCATGAAGGGGTGGGGATGGAGATAGGTGTGGGGCGAGTGTTCTTAATTCTGTCGTGGTTTCAGTTATTGCAAAATCGAGCTTTTAAATGACGTTTTAATGGTTTTATAATAAACAATTTTAGTGTGGTTTGTGTGTGGAATAGTGTTCCTTACCATGTAAGATGAGAAAGAGAAATTTTTAATTGTGGGGGTTAGAGGGCTTCTGACAGTATTGTTGGGGGGGGGGTGAAACTTTCCTGGAGAAATCTGTGGTCCCGCCCCCACCCCCACCCCCACCCCTTAGATCCATGCTCTCCTGTCTCCGCAGGTAAGAGCAGAGAGCTGTCAGTTGACAGGGGCAGGGAGGGCCCCACAGTCCAGATGAGGGCAGTGTGGCTCGGGTGTCAGAGGGCTCAGCGCTGGCCTCAGCAGGAACAGTCCCACGGCAGCCTTCAGTGAGGGTCCCAGAAGCTAGGCTGGACGAGTTGAGGAATTCCAATGGAGATGCATGTGCAATATGCCTAACCGGCTTTTTTACCACCAAGTAGAAGCGAAGCTCCTGGATGGAATTTTTGTTGATGTGAGCAGCTTTTGGTAGGAGGAGCATCAGTAAAAGGAGGCAGGGAGTGTGAGGATTCAGGGGGTTGTAGGGAGACTAAAAGTACTCTTGCTTGTATATTGTCTGATGTCAGCTTACTTCATCTGTGACTTTAAAAAAATTATTTTTTATTTGTATGGCAGAGTGCCAGATAGTTTCCATCCCCTGGTCACTCCTCAAATGGCTGCAATGGCCAGGCCAAGGCCAGGCTGAACCCAGGAGCCTGGAACAACATCTGGATCTCCTACGTGGGTGCAGGGGCTCAAGCACTTGAACCATCTTCTGTTTTTCCAGGTGCATTAGCAGGGAGCTGGATAGGAAGTGGAGTAGCATGGACTCCAACCAGTGCCTATGTGGGATGCCCACGTGGCAGGCAGCAGCTTACCAGGCCCCCATTCTATGACTACGGATTACATTTCTTAAGTAAAAGGCATTTAAGAACTTGTATATTAACTTTCTTGCCTAATAAACCAAAACTTAGAGAATTTGCTCAAATTAAAATACATATTTTAATACATTTTATATAAAATATGTCAAATATATAAATATATAATTTATATATAATTTGAAAGGCAAAGAGACAACAAAGACCAGTCTAAAGCCAGGAGTCTGGAACTCAATGTTGGGGTACAGGCACCTGAGCACTTGACATCATCTGCTACTTCCCAGCATATACATGAGCAGGAAGCTGGATTGGAAGCAGCAGTGGGACTCGACCCAAGGCATTCCAAGTGGGATTTTAACTGCTGTGACACATGTCCACCCCTGCAAAGATTTGTTAATGATTATGTATATTGAATAACATTTGTAAAATCATAAGACTAGTATGCTAGATTCTCTTAAATGTTGAAGATTTTTTCGGGGCTGGTGTTTTGCCACAGTGGGTTAAGCCATAGCTTGCAAGGCCAGCATCCCATAAGGACACTGGTTCATGTCCCAGCTGCTCCACTTCCTCTCCAGGTCCCTACTAATGCACCTGGGAAAGCAGAAGTCCTTGGGACCCTGAAACCTAGCTGGAGTTTTAGGTTCTGGACTTGGGCCTGGCCCAATCCTGGCCATTGTAGCCATTTAGGGAGTGAACCAACAGATGGAACATCTTTCTATCCCTGTTTCTGTCTCTCCCTCTCTCTGAAACTCTGAAGTTTAAATAAATAAATAAATAAATAAATGAATACTTTGTTGTTGTTGTTTGAAGAGGGCTGGTGTTGTGGTGCAGTGGGTTAAGCTGCCACCTGGGATGCTGGCATTCCATATAAACACCGGTTTTGGTTCCAGCTGCTCTGCTTCCAACCCAGCTCCCTGCTAATGCAGAAGTAGTCTAAGTGCTTGGGTCCCTGCCATCCTCTCTGGAGAACTGGATGGAGTTCCTGACTCTTGCCTTTAGACTCACCTAGCCCTGGCTGTTTGCGGCCATTTGGGGAGTAAACCAGTGGATAGAAGATCTCTTATCTCTTCCTATATCTCTGTCACTCTGCCTTACAAATCAATTTTTTAAAAAAATCTTTCTTACAATCATTTTGAAATACCGTCATGTGTTGTAAATATCTTTCAGTTCTGTGGCTTGCCTTTTTCAGTTTCTTAATAGTATCATTTGGAAGTGCTTTAAATTTTAATGTCTTTTCATCTACAAGTTGTTCTTTCATGCTTGATTTTTTGTGTGTGTTTCCTATTGAATAAATGTATTTTTTCCTTGAGATCTAAGGGCCCCATTTGTCTGCTAGAGACTTTATTGTTTTGCATTTAATTTATCACTTGTCTGAAATTCATTTTTTTTTATTTCATTTATTTGAGAATCAGAGAGAGGCAGAGAGTGGGGCAGTAGGGGCTCAAACCAGTGCCCATATGGGATGCCAGTGCTGCAGGTGGCAGCTTACCCCGCTACACCACAGCACTGGCCCCAAGATGCATTATTACACTTGCCTGTCGCCAAGCTTGTAATCTTGACTCCTCCGGGTTCCTGACCAGCCAGTCATACCATTCACCACTGCCTGTGAGTCTGTCTGTTAACCTGGGTCATCTTCCACGTAGTGGGTCGCCAAGTGCACTGTCTAAAGGTCTTTTTCTTGGGAGTACTTCTGCTAAAGTTTTGGAATTCCTGTTCTACGTTAATGCGTCAACCAAGCTTAGAAATAGCCACCCAATTCTGTTGTTGTGTGTCTTCTCATTGGTACACCATCCAGACTCACCAGTGATGACAGTTTTAACAATATTACTAATTCATCCTGAGCTGTCGAATGGATTCCAGGCCTTTGAGCTCCACATGGATCAGGCGGTGGATGTGGGATGCCTTGGGAAGGGGCATGCCCTGGGAGAGACAGCTCTCTTAACTGACAGCTGCTCAATACTTTCTGCCTCAAGTTCTCCCATCATAGCGGGGAGCTCGTTCTTGAAGGGTGTTGAGAGAGACATGCCAAAGCTCGCCACATCATGTGAGATTTTTTGCCCTTTGTCTGAGACCAAGACAGGCTTGATAAGACAGCACTAACAAGGCCTAGAGAATCAAGATTTTTGTTGAGCAATGCTTCGAAGAGTGTTCAGACAAGTTGCAGCCAGTGGGAATGGGAGGGTGGAGGGCAAGTGGGAAGTTGAAAGCACCACCTGGTTCGTCAAAGTATTTATGTCTGTAAAGTATTTCTAAAAAAAAAAAATGAAATATTTCTTTCTTTGTCATGAGAAATTCTGCATGCTCACCTAGGAATTTTCTTAAAAAATGGAAGAGTTTAACTGCTAAGTGGAAAGTTTATTGTGTGACTGCTGCCTGTCATCTCAGCTATAAATGAGGGAACGGTCCTCTCCATCATCAGCTTCTCCTTCCCACAGTTCAGGGAAGGAAGTCTGTGAGAGCAGGACCTTAGGAGTTGGCGTTGTGGGCAACAGGTGAAGTCACTACTTGCCTCACAGGCGTTCCACATCAGAGCACCAGTTCAAGTCCTGGCTGCTCCACGTCTGATCCAGCTCCCTGCTAATGTCCCTGAGAAAGCAGCTGATGGCCCAAGCACCTGGACCCATGCACCCACGGGGGAGACCCAGGTGGAGTTCCAGGCTCCAGGCTTCAGTCTGGACCAGCCCCAGCCATTGCAGCCACCTGGGGAGTGAACCAGTGGATGCAAGATCTCTCTCCCTCTCTGTCACTCTTCCTTTTGAATAAATAAATCTTAATAGACCAGGAGCTGAGAAATCAGTATGGGTAATAATTAGTAATATGATGTGAACTATGTAAAGGATCTGTTTGGAAATCTCCTTTGATATATTTCTGTCAGTATTCTGAATTTTTCCTTTACAGCTTAGAAGAAAACAATGAGTTAAGACCAGGCAGGGAACATAATCTCCTAATCGCTGATGTATTCTCCTTCTGGTCTGGCTGCGGGGTGAGGCGGGAGTGGATATAGCTATCACTGGCTACTCAGAAGAGTAAGCAGTTTTGCTGAACCATGTGTATAAACCTAGTGGTTTTTTCCCTCCCCCTGTTGGAACATGATTATCTATAGTGAGTTTTTAAAATTTGAAGTACTTTGGAAACCAGCTGAAAAATTGAGGCAAAAAGATGTTCCATTTCTCTCTCAAAAAACTGGCTGATATCTGTCTAAATAAGGCCAGAGTTTGTGAACTCAAGAGGCTTCCATTGCCTTGGCAGCTCATGACAAGAGTCTTGGGTGATTACTGATGTCATAAATAAGGGTGTCAATTGTTAACAACGGGAGTCACTGTACACCTACTCCCCATGCAGGATCTCTGTCTTTAATGTGTTGTACTATGTGGATTAACGGTAAAACTACTACTCAAACAGTACTCTATACTTTGTGTGTCTGTGTGGGTGCAGTCTGTTGAAATCTTTACTTAGTATATACCAAGTTGATCTTCTGTATCTAAAGATAATTGAAAATGAATCTTGATGAAGAATGGGATAGGAGAGGGAGTGGGAGATGGGATGGTTGAGGGTGGGAGGGAGGTTATGGGGGGAAAAGCTGCTCTAATTCAAAAGTTGTACTTTGGAAAATTATATTTATTAAACATAAGTTTTTTAAAAACTTACTGATACCAAAATAGTTTTGTAGGAAGAATTTTGTTCGTAGGTATAGTAAGGTGACTATAGTTCACAATACCTATTATATATATATATATTTATATATATATATATTTTACAAGAAGGGTGGACAGTGAGAGAGAGAGACAGAGAGAAAGGTCTTCCTTTGCCGTTGGTTCACCCTCCAATGGCCACCACGGTCGGCATGCTGCGGCTGGCGCGCTGCGGCGGGCACAACGTGCTGATCCAATGGCAGGAGCCAGGTACTTACCCTGGTCTCCCATGGGGTGCAGGGCCCAACGACTTGGGGCATCTTTCACTACACCCCCGGGACACAGCAGAAAGCTGGCCTGGAAGAGGGACAACCGGGACAGAATGCGGCGCCCCAACCGGGACTAGAACCCGGTGTGCCAGCGTTGCAAGGTGGAGGATTAGCCTATTGAGCCGCAGCACTGGCCCACCTATGATATTTTATGAAGACCTAAGAGGAGCTCAAAACCACCAAACAAATACATGATAAGGAGATGGATATCCTAATTACCCTGATTTGATCAGTCATATTGTATGCAGATGTTGAAGTA